TCACATTACTACTACATGCTTGAATTGGTAGTTTTCAAAATTGACTCAATCTAACAAGATCTTGATTTTTATTAACAGTGTTGATTGTGGAATTATTGTATGTTATATCATGTGTCAAATCATAAGAGATGAGCTATTGCAAATTCTATCGAAGATGATGAAATAAACAATTTTCGAGCATCAATAGTGCATCAATTTTTGAATGATTATCCAAAAGCATGGAGTAAGGAATAATTCAACCTTAAAAAAATAAAAAAATAAATAGCCAAGAGATAAGACCTTGAGGACGACGATGTGGATAACTTTTGGGAACTATTGTGAATGATGTATATAATTCTGGATTTTGTAAATGAAAGAATGGTGAAAAAGTAATTGTAGGTGAAAGAATACTAAAAGAGCATAGATTGTACATGGTATGTCTATTGTTCTAGTAAATTTTACTGTGGTTTGGTGATTAATACATTATTATAGCAGGATATTGTTTTGAGTAGGAATGAACGTTGTTATGGATAGAATACAATGATATAGCTTATACTTGTGTATCTTTGATGATATATGTAATTGTGTTGTTAGATTATTTTTACACAAAGATTGCATGATGAGCATCAGGGGAGTTTGTGTATTATGGTAAATTTTGGTGCAGGTTAGAAATGTTCTTCCAAGGGACTAACATACTGTCTAATAGTAAAATTTTACTCTACATAAAAGTAAAATTTTACTCTGAATTAAGATTAAAATATTACTCTGAAATAAGAGTAAAATGTTACTCTGAAAGGTAGTAAAGTTTTACTTTCATGTGAATGAAGATAATGTTTTACTCTAGAAAAAGTAAAATTTTACTCTACAATAAAGTAAAAGTTTACTCTGAAATACAACAAAATTTTACTAAAGGACTAACATAATGTCTAATAGTAAAATTTTATTCTAAAATAAAATAAAATTTTGCTCTGCATAAAAGTAAAAGTTTACTCTGCTTAAAAGTAAAATTTTACTCTCTCAATCTAAAATTGTAAAACCACAGCTTCAACACAGCCATAGACTACCATTCAACAACATAGTAAAATTTTACTCTGAAAAAGGTACAATTTTACTCTAAATGTAAAATTTTTCTTTGAAATAAAGTAAAATTTTACTGTGAAACCACAGGCTCATTACAACTATAGACAACCATTCAACAACATAGTAAAATTTTACTTTGAAAGGCAGTAAAGTTTTACTTTCATATGAATGAAGGTAATGTTTTACTTTGGAAAAAGTAAAATTTTACTTTGCAATAAAGTAGAAGTTTACTCTGAAATACAGTAAAATTTTACTCTGAAAGCACTGGCTGAGCACAACCATTTCAAACCTTCACACCTGCTAAACAAACTCCATTATAAGTTCATTTACATGAAACTTATTCAACCACATTAAAAAAATATATTAAAATGTCAAATTCAACCACAAAGCAAATCAGAAACTTGGATTAACAACCATTCAAGAACAAAGTAAAAATATCTTTTATTGCAATGTCTCCTTACAAGTCTAGTCTAAAGACTATACTATTATTGCTATGGACTATTTATTGCAGAAAAACTACATTACTTTCATACTTTTATTACAAAGCAATAATGTCTTTCATGGCAATGTTTCCTTGCAAGTCTTTCTATTATGACCGTACTTCTCGCATCTACCACTCTGTACTCATCTTATCTTCTCACCTCTAGATGGGATCCTATTATTCCTTGGCCTACCAGGTGGTTTCTTACAAATTGGAGGAAGGACAACAAGATCGTCCATAGCTACAGGAGGTTTCTCAACAGTGGGTATTGGATAAACGGACTCAGCATAGCAAGCTTTGAACTTGCTAGTGTAATAAAATGGTTCCACATGTGCATACAAATCACCTCCGTTCTTTTGGACAGTGGTCGCTGCGTGAGCACAAAGAAATCCATTCAATTGTCATTGGTAACATGAGCAAGTTCTATTCAAGAGGTCAACGCTAACAGATGGCCGGGATTGAACCTCAAAAACATGATCACTTGAACAACTAACCAACCAAGTTGTTCCACTTTTAAGAGCATTTACTAATGTTGAATCCATCTTCGGACAAAGAAAAGTATTCCATTTCTTAGCTTGTTCTCTCCTTCTTGACATCAAATCCATGATCTTCAACCTTATTGAATCAATCATCTTTGTAGTGGGCAAATGACAAGTTTGACGGATCCATGAATTGAAAGACTCCGCCACATTCGAGTGCATTTCATCGTATTTTTGTCCTTTAAAATATGAATTAGTCCACTTGTCATAAGGCAAATTAGATAGAAACCTACAAATAATCCATTTTTTCTCATAGTGTAATTCTTTCAAACACTAATTAAAACATCCCACTATCAGAGTATAAGTACATGAAGAAAACAAAAAAACTATTCTACTCTTGAAAGTATTGTTGAAACTTGGACCGAAGAACCTATCCCTCAAATTGGCCTTCAAGTGTTAGAGAAAAAAATAGTGGTAAGCAGTAGGTAAAACCTTGGGTAAAGCCTCCACAAGTCTGGCGTTTCGATCAGATATGAATGTAATTGGTCTTTCATCAAACAATATATTTGACAAATGCATAAAAAACCATTCCCAACTGTCTGTAATCTCTGTATCAACAATTGTCATTGCAAGAGGGAAAAAACCTGAAAAATAACATTTACAATTAGTAAGTATATTAAACAAAAAGGACAAATATAGTAAAGTTTTACTCTGAAAATAAGTAACATGTTACTCTGAGAATAAGTAACTTGTTACTTTTCAATAAACTATAATAATATCTACCTTGATCCCCATCATTCGCTGTAGCTGTTAACAAGGTGCCTTTATATTTCCCCTTCAGAAAAGTTCCATCGATAAACAATAGAGGACGTTAATGCATAAACTCTTGAATAGAGGCATTAAATGCAACAAAAAACCTCTTGAACCGTACACTTTGATGGCTATAGTCAAGCTGCAAATAGCTACCAGGATTTGTGCTCATCACAATATCCATATACCATCGAATCTCATCCTTAGACAAAAAGAAATCCCCAAAAGTAGTAGTCCTAGCTTTCTCAACTCTAAACCAAGCATGATTATACGTAATGATGAGACTGTATTGATCTGTAAATTGACGCACAACATCAATTGGATGAGTTTGGGGATTCCTAAGAACTTCATTAACAATCAAACTTGTAACCAAATTTAAACTCATTCTTGAGTTTTTAGAAGTACAAACTGCAGCTCCACAACTATGCTCATCATGTAGAGTTCTAACGTAGAAAAAATTATTAGCACTCTTTAGAGATGCATGTACTCGCCATAAACAACCTTTGGACTCCCGCATTGAACACACAGCAGTGACCCGACACTTCTCATTCTTCACGTATACAAACTCAAATCCTATCTCAATGGCCTATTTACATAATACAGTCCGGAAATCCTTTGCACCACTAATAAATTTTTGACCTACATGAGTAATTTCATTCACCCATCCACAAGACAACAAAATCCTTTTTCATGTTGACAAAACATAAGAAGTAAATCCATTTCATCATCAGTAACGTTGGGTCCACTAGCATCCCCCGATTCTCTAACTCTATGTTTTTCATTTGAAATGCCTATTTCAGTAATAGTCACATCAACCCCGGTCAACACTGAGGGGATAAACAAGTGACAACATATTTTGAAAATCAGAATCATCATCAATCATGCATTGCGAATGTCTAGATAAACAGTACGATAAGAGTATGCAACCACTACTATCAAACTTCTTCAATTTACAACTTAAGAAATCAATTAAATCCTTCAATGTGCAATTTGACACAACCTCGAACACAATGGTAGGATCACCATACGTGCATAACAACATAAGAGGTGGATCCATTTTTCAAATCTGCTATCAATTAATAGTAAAAGTTTACTGTTAGTCAACGTAAAATTTTACTATCATTATCAAAGTAAAATTTTATTGTCACTACAAGTCCAAAAACAAATAACAGAAGTATAGAATACTAGAGTAAAAATTTACTATCATTCTATCAAAAAATAAAAAAAGAATAGAAAACACCAGAGTAAAATTTTACTCTCATTTTATTAAGCAAAAACAGAGCATATACTAGAGTAAAATTTTACTCTCATTCTCTCAAACAAAAACAAAGCACATACCAGAGTAAAATTTTACTCACATTCTCTCAAACAAAAAATAGAACACATAGAACTAGAGTAAAATTTTACTCTGGTTCTGTCAAAAAATTAGATCAAACACAACAAAAATAAATCAAAAAGAAAAACAAACAAACAAACAAAAAAAATTAATCAACAAATCAACATACCTGATTGAAAAGAAAAATCTTTAAAACTTGATCAACACTCACAAATCTTAATGAAACTCTCAAAATCTGATACAGATTTATACATATTTGAAATGTAAACTCTCGTTTAATTGAGAGTTTTGATCATCGGCAGCAAGATCGTCCATTGTTGACCAAGGGTGAGATCTTGGGTTGCGAGATTTTCAGATTTGGAGACTGTCTCATTGATTTCGTAGATTGCGTTCCTGATTTTGCAAAATGTTCGTAGATCCGTATATAATGTATCCGTTCAGATTTCAAATATATGATACTTATATAGAAGGGCAGTATTGTCATAAAAAAAGGGACAAATTATATAATGTCCTTATTGAAGCAAACATCTCCTACTCATGGACTTTTTGAAAGAAAATTAATTGAGCTATCTTTTACACTGATAAAAAAAAGCCCAAAAGAGAGTTTCACAAAAAAAAGTTCAAATATATGATACTTATATAGAAGGGCAGTATTGTCATAAAAAAAAGGATAAATTATATAATGTCCTTATTGAAGCAAACATCTCCTACTCATGGACTTTTTGAAAGAAAATTAATTGAGCTATCTTTTACACTGATAAAAAAAAGCCCAAAAGAGTTTCACAAAAAAAAGCCCTTAATTAATTGCAGGTTTTTTTTTGTGGAGCTTATTTGGGCCGACCCGCCACAAATGGGCAGCCTAAGTCTCTGGATCGGACTTTCCCACGGTCTATGCAATCTTTTGCTACCAGAGAGAGAGGGAGTCGTCCCTGTAATTTCGTCTCTTCTCGCCAGTTCACCTAGAGAGCGAGAGAGAGCTTCGAAGTTCGACAGATCTTCGATCCAATTGTTGTCGGAGAAGAAGAAGAAGACGAAGAAGAAGAATAGGGAACCGAAATGCTGCCCACTGTATCAAAAGGGCGTATGCCTTCTCAAGTTCGGTCCAATCCTGTTTTCCCCCAATACCTCCGGCGAATTGTCAAGGTTTCTATCCTCCACTTTCTCTCTCCGCATATACATACACATATACATGCCTATCTCAAAATTTCAAGCCTCGTAATAGATCTGATCTTCATCTAAATCGCATTTAGTTTCCGTAAATTGGCTTTTGTTTTTTGGACCTGCTAAGTTTCTGAATTTAACATCACATTCTGTAGTAACAAAACAGTATTGAGGAGTATAGCACCAATTTTGGATTTTATGCAGTTATTCGCGTCATTTTCCTGTTAATTTTCTAGGGGAAAAAAAAAAAAAAAAATTCTGTTTTGGAGTCTTCTAGGTTTTGTGATCTTTTGGTTATTTATGGTATCTTATGAATTTCAATGATCCAACAATTAGATTCTGATACTGGGTTTTGGAGCTCAAATCCAGTGATCTATTATATTTTAGGGTTTATGTGTTGAATGTTATGATGTTCTAGGGTTTGCAGTAATTTCTGATGTTGAGTATCTAGTCTTGTGGACTAGTTTGCAGATTTGAGTTTATTCATTTCGTCCAATACCTAGGGAAGATTTCTCAATTTTTCGTATTTGCAGAAATTTGGAAGTAATCAAGAGCTATATTTTTCTAGTTTAGTAGATGAAAGAGAAAAATAGCTTCTTATAGATGATAAAGTCCAAAATCTTTAAAGAACTTCACTAACATAACTCACTGCAAAGTTTGAAGGTAGGTTCTAACGGTTTAAAATTTTAAATTAGAGAAATGCTGTTTACAACGAGATTTATTTCACCCATTTATACTAGCTCCTATTGCAACAATCAGCTTCTATGTTACATGGATTCGGATATAAATGTCGGGTGCACGCGAGTGTTCAAGCATCAGACCTTTACAAAACGAAATGGCCATATGTCATGAATTGGGGTATGTATCCAAATGTTGGATATAGGTATGGGGATGCTTATGGACACACACAAATATATATTGCATATTGTTTAATATTCTTTATCAAAACTAAATAGCTAATTCTTAGGATATTGGGGTACAGGATGCGTTATGGACACGTATATTTGTTGCATATTGTATAATTTTCTTTGTAAAACTAAATAGTTAAATATTAAGGCCTTGTTTGGGAATAAGCTATTTTATTAATATTTTGGCTTTTTGGCTAAAATATGAGATAAAAAAAAGTAGTATGTTTGGGATGATTTTTTGATTTTTCATGAAAAGATGTGCAAAAAGTAAAGAGAAAAAAGAATCTTTGACTTTTGGTATAGGTTGTTGGCTTTTTGATTTTTTTGGTGACTTTTTGACTTTTTGGTTAAAATCACCACTTGCCAAACGAGGCCTAAGATATTGGGATATGCATCCAAATGTTGGGTGTGGGTATGGAGATGCGCTATGGACACTTATATATATTGCACATTGTATAATGTTTATAGATAAAATGTTATAAGTTATGTAGAAATGTCTAAGAGGCATAGACAATTATACGGATGCGGACACGGACACAAATGCAGATACGGGATACGATACGATGATTCCAAAAGAATGGGGACACAGACACGACAATAAAATATGTTTTCATATATTTTTATTTGGTATTTAGATTATTATTACATTCACAAACAATCAATACTAACAAAAACTAGCTCTAATTCTATTTGTTAATTTTTTTTTAAATTAACATTTACAGTTTATATAATTTTTTTTTTATCAATAATCTATTAAGTATTTGAATCTAAGAAAAAAAATAATAAATATTCAACATTCAACATTTATCAAAAGCACTAAAAAAAATAGAAGAAAAGATAACTTGGCATTTCCCTAGTGTGTCCCCAAAGTGTCTCCGGCGTGTTCTCTGAATATAAATTAATTAAATAAGTGCGTGTCCCCACCATGTCCGCGTGTCCATGCCATATCCGTGTGTCTGACACGGATATGTCACTTGTTTTGAGGTGTCGGTGCTTCATAGAGAAATGTAATTAAAATTAAAAGAATATAGAAAAAATATAAAATTTCCTTCTCATATCCATGTGAGAGGTTAAAAATGTTTTTTTTATTAGTCAATGTGAATTTGTTCTTAAAAAAAATAAAAAAAAATAAAAATTATTATTATTACTTTTTTTGATAAAGAAAAAAAGTTCTTTATACAAAATTTGTAAGAAAAATTTATCATAAATTCCATATAGGGAATGTTGATCCATTTAGTCCTAAAAGTTTTCTTATGAATCAATTAGTCTTTTTTGTTTTGAAAAGTTGTATTTATTTGATTTGGTGCCATTTGAGTTTAATTGAATGCCCTTTTGTGATTTATTTTTTTAATTTTCTAATTTGTTTTTGGGATGAGAATGGAAAAGTGAGATGTGGAAGATTCTTTTTGGGGGAATTGGTAGCTGAAGTGTTGGTTGTCGAACGTGAAAATTTACATTTCTGTTAGTGTGATTTTTTGGTGTTACATTAGAGTACTACGTTTAGAAAAAGTACATTAAGGAGTTTTTGTATGTTACATTGATTAGAGTGTTATTTGGGAAAAATAAACTAAGGAGTTTTTTTTGGAATTTTATGTTGTTATGTTTGAGAAAAATACACTATAAGAAGTTTTATGTGTTACATTGATTGAAGTGTTATGTTTGAGAAAAGTACACTAAGGAATTTTTTTAGAATGTTACCTTATTATGTTTGAAAAAAGTATACTAAGGAGTTTTTTTAAGAATGTTACGTTGTTACGTTTGAAAAAAGTACACTAAGGAGTTTTTTAGTGTGTTACATTAGAGTGCTACGTTTAGGAAAAGTAAGTTTTTTTTGAAGTGTTACGTTTAATGATTTCAACATTATGAGAAAATTCACATTTGTCCCTCAACACATAATGCACGCGTGTTTATGTTTGATCTTTTATGTAATTTACATTATAATGGGACTTTTTGTCTATAAGAAAAAAGAGGCGATCAAAAAGTTCATAATATAACTATTTGAGATTTATTGGTGCTTCACCCATAAAACCAATATGAAGTCTCAAAGATATTCTCCAAACCCCAAAATTCTCGTAGCTATACCAAAAGATTAAAAGACTCAAATGTAGCGCTAAAAATGGCAACGAAATTTATAATTTTGGAGAAAATCATGACAGTAAGAATACTTACCTTATTTGGAGCAAAATTTGTATTTTAGGAGAAAATCACGTTAATACGTATGAATTTATGGCAAGTGTGAAAGCTATACGTATGATCGGGTGCAAACCCAGGAATCTTGGCTTTTTATATGGTTTGCATCTTGGGAGGGCAGATCAAGATTCCTGGGTTTGGGATTGTCGTAGATCCAGAGTTATTTTTACCGTGTCTTCATTCTATGGGGCGCTTGTTCAGGATATGAATGGTTTTGATGTCACCATGGTTTATTCGTGGAAAAGTGTTTGGGTGCCTAGCACGCCGTCCAAGGTTGCCTTCTTTGTTTGGACAATGAGTTTGGACTGTATCTTGACCATTGATAATTTGATTTGTTGTGGACATATTTTGATGAATTGGTGTTGCTTGTGCGGTCGGGCAGGGAGTCGGTTGACCATTTACTTATTCATTGTTTGGTCTCTTCTCGTCTTTGAATGCTTGTGGTTGCAATTTTTAGGTTGGTTTGGGTTCAACCGGGTTCAGTGTTCGCAGTTTTGCAAAGTTGGGTAGGGGGGAGAGTGGGGAGAAGGCGTCGAAAGGCTTGGATTCTTGCTTTGCACTGTTTAATGTGGTTGATCTGGTTGGAGTGTAATAGGCGGGTGTTTCAAGAGGTGGCTCATTCCATCCCTTGGTTAGAGAGGCGGTTTCTTACTATATTGTATAGTTGGATGACAGGTTTAACAGATCCAGATGTGTTGGCTTTTGTAGATTTTGTAGAGAATTTGATCTGTTAGTTTAGTTGGACTCTTGAAGCCGTTTTTGTATTCTTTGCATCATCTTGATGCTTTATCTATAAAGTTTGGTTATTTATAAAATAAAATAAAAAAAACAAAAATGGGTTAATAGATTTCTCATAAGATTTGTCCTAAAATAGAACCATTTGGTAGGACTTTTTACTAATGTTTCCCAAAATTAAAGGATCAAGTATCTACATATCCCACATCCTTACCCTTGTTATATTTGGTGGACATGGGTACTCTGGGAGAAATAGAAGAACCTGTATAACACAAAAACCATGTACATAGGTACGAATGATCAAATTTAATTTAGTATTATACAAATGCCTCAATCTGCATAGAATAGTGGCTTAAGTACAAGTATCGAACCTTAGGGACTGGAAGACTATATTGGTCTATTTTGGAAATCAAATTTTCAATTAATTTAGAGAAAAGTAATAATGGTCGATTTTAAGTACAAAAAACTAGAGATCAAAATTGATCAAAGCAAAATTAAACTATATTCAATAAGGGAAGGGCTTAGGAGATCTAATCCACCACTAGTCTTCTAACAATGGTTATATTTATTCTGGGATGTAATTAATTAATATGATCATGACCTATTGTAGCTATAAGCCCCAACAGTCGGTGTCTTCAAGAAAGATCATGTGTTTGTGAATCAAGTATAACTGATCTTTGACAAGAACAAAGCGTCTATAATGAAATTATAGCACAATTCTTCTTCACTGGGCATGGGTCATCATCCTACTTCACAAATACATGTAAAATGGACATCATTGAATAACCATTGTTTTTAAGATTACATAAATAAGATACTAGACAAGATTAAACAATAAAACCGATTATATTAATAATCCTCAGAGTTATACAATCATCATAAGAACCAATCAATCCCAAAATAATACAATAGATAAAAGCTACTTGACTAGGGTTTCATTTATATCCTAAGAGAATAAATTAGTTGTTCATGGAAAAGGGGAAAGTTACCATCTTCAATGATAACTCCATTCTTTGAATCTCAGGAAGAGCCGTCTCTTTGCCTCCTGAGCTGCCTTGAATAATTGAACAACCCTCTTTAGTAAGCTAAATTGGTTACTTGTATACTTCCTCTTCAAACTAAGTCTTTTTGGGTCACAATCCGGGCATATTGACCTAAATTTCTTCAGCCTCGGGTCTATTTCTGCTTGGGTGGAGCCTGACATGTGCTTGAGTGGTCAAGGGCAATGGGATCACCTTCAAGTACTTTAATCCATGTTTCCTTTGGGGAGCTCTGCTCGAGCCAGTCACCACCTCTGCCTGAGTGGTGGGTGCCAGCATGGCTGTTTACTTTTTGACGCTTCATGTTTCTACTCACTTTCTTTTGGGGCTTGAATCAAATTATTCCACAAGTCCGATTAGGCTTCAAAGAGCACCAGACTAAGACAATTCATCCACAAAGGCTCAATCAGCCTACAAGCACACAAGAAAGCATTAGACTGGCAAGTAACACAACTTAATGGACTAAAAGCATATTCCAGAGGACCTAAGTGTATAACATTTTGGCATCTATCAAGGACCCAACATATTAAAAAATACCACCATGTGCATGAGAAGCCACATACGAGGTGAAGAGTTTCAGCGAAATAATTTGGTGATATCTAACAGTTCTCTTTAAATTAGCATAACTCAATAATTGACTGCTAAGTCCCCCCCTGCCTCCCCCTAAAAATAAAAAAAAAATAAAAAAATTTGATTACTTCACTTAAGTGATAATTAAAATGGGGGTAATTATTTAGCTTTTCTGTTAGCACATTCTTTCCTCTGCTGGTAAAGCTCTCCTGAATTCTCTCTTTAAATAGTAATATTTACAGAGAGCAAGAGGGAGACTGGTTATGCTTTAAAGAGTGTCCATTGATACACTGTCTTGAAACAAAATGTGATATTACTTCTTTCTAATTTTTACCTTTTATCAAATATCTTTGGGCATTAAAAGTTCAATTGAAGTCATGCACGACTTTTCTCACATATGCATTTGTATATTGAAAATGTTCAATTTCATATATATTTTTTCCTGCTTTTTCGTCACCTTATAAATTCTTTCTTTTGGCTGGTTAATTGTAGTGGCAGCAAATGGATATCGAATATACTTTTTGGCAGATGTTTCATCTGTGTACCTCACCTAAAGTTGTGTATGTATTTATCCTTTTCTGTCATTATTATCATTTTGGTAGTGGTGGTGGTGGTAGTAGATGTTCTTATTCTGAATGTTCATGCATCTAAGAATTGTCTGGTAGATGGGAGAGAATTAGAATCAGAAATTTTTTATCGTTGGTAGATTATTGAATCAGTTGGAAAGGTATCATAATCCTTGAACTCTTGAAGTTTGTGCTATACTAGTTTGTGGTGATCATATTGCATTGACTTATCCACTTTCTGCTTTGAATACATTATGACCGGCAAGAGGGGGTGATAGCCCCCCCCCCTTCTACGATTTCAAAAGCACCATTTATTATAATAGTAGTAGCTACAATTTTTTACATATCATATAGACTCGCTCCCTCTACGTTTTTCTTCTTTTAGAAAAATTTAAGTGGCTATCACTCTATATATATGAAACATAGGATCAAAATATATATTAAAAAAAGTAGAAAAAAATAATAATAAAATTTCTTTGTTATAACTATCGTTAATTACAACTCCAAGTTTCTAAAGAATCAAATAAGGTATTAGCTAATTACTTAATCACTTTCATTGAGAGACATTGTACAAGATTTTAATATCGATTCTATCATAGTCATTTTTAATGACATGAACTAATGTCGAGCACAACAATTCAAGGTGCCTCACTTTAATATATAGATTGTTTTATGGTTGCTATTTTTTGTAACTAAATACGGATACAAAAAACATGCTATTTATATATATTTTCATCGTATTTTCACTTTTTAAACTAGTAGAAATTGATAGTATAATTTATACTTTCTTTTTAAAAAATTTATTAGCATATATATGTTTGCGCCGCCCCCCCCCCCAATATATGAAAATCCTGGGTCTGTCTTGATTATGACACTAATCACTGATCATATCAGGTTGGACATGTGCATATGTTGTGCTTTAATTTGAACATAAACATCTTTTTGGGATATCAAAATCAAATCTATAATTTTTTGTAGGAGATACAGATCACCTATCTCTGGTTGTGTAGGTACAGATCAACTATCTCTGGTTGTGTAGGAGATACTTATCTAGAATACTCCAGGGAGACTTTTGTTATCTTCATCAGCACATATAAGTGCTTTACTAATATCTAATTTTAAGTTATGTCTCCATTTGAGGCAAAATTAAGAAATTGGGCATATTGAACTATCACAGGAGTATTTCACTTACCCCAAGGTTTATATCTCTGTCAAGGCTTATCTCTATACCAGATTGGGGAACCATCTTCTTTCATACACCCCCGCCAAAACCAAAAAAAAAAAAATGTTTGCTTAGATGTTGGTTTAACATAGTTGTTGTCGCTCCCAAGTCAACTTCCATCATTTTAAAGGAAATAGTGAAAAACATTATTCAACTGATGTAGGTTCATAATCTTTCTCTATGCTAAAGATTGATTAATATTTTTTACCTTCTTGTGATTCATTGTCTTCCTTTGATAGTTTCTGGACTTTTGTAACAGAAGTAATCCATACTACGTATTAAGGCAGAGCAACCTATGGTGTCCTCTTGATCCCCACATTAAAATCATCAAATTAAATTTCACAGTTACTCTCTATAATGATTAAAAACTTCACACTTCTTTATTCTCCTACCTTTTTCTTATACATGTGTGCACTCGCATAGCGAGTGCCATAAATCTAGTAATAGTTAAAAGTTGCTTTATTTGCTAAAAAAACTTAGGTAGTGTTTGGTAGAGCTTTCTAAATATGATTTGAGAATAAGAGTTATATTTTGAGTTTGTGAGTTTTGGAATTATGATTTGAGTGTGAAAAATTTGTTTGGTGAATGAGTTTTGAATTGAGTGGGGAATTTTTAATGTGACATATGATATTTGATACAAAAACTTACAACTCATAACCAAATACACAATTCAAAATTTTATGAAAGCTCATAAATTTTTTTTAAAAATTCGGAAAATATTTTTTGTTGAATATATAAAAATTAACATGTGTCAATTGAAAAAAAAAAAAAAATGCACTGTTCCGGTCAACTGGCCGGACTACCGGTGGGACGGCCGGTTAGCCCAAATTTTTCTGCCTTCGACCGAGTTTTTAAAAGTGAGCGTGGAATTAATTTTTGAAAGCTGCAAACAAATACCACGTGAGAACAAATGATTGGAACTAATGTTCCAAAGCTCTACCAAACAAAGCCGTATTTATTTACTCTATTAAGTTTGTGTTCTTATGTCATGTTACTCCTTTATAGCATTTAAGTAACATTGTTGACTATGAGAGCTTTTAGTGTATGCTGTAGTTGGTAAAGTTATCCCATTGATTTTTATTTGTTAAGTTTATCAGCAGCAATCATTGAGTCTTAAGTGGTTTTAGGTTACGCTCTTTGGCCCTATTTGGTAGAGTTGTGGGAAAGTGCTTATAACTTATGCTTAAACGGCTTATAGCTTATAATTATGAACATAAGCTGATTTCTGACTTATAAATTAAGCATCTCCTGCCCCACTCAAAGAATAAGCTGATTTCTGACTTCCAAAAAGGTATAAGTTATAAGCTATAAGCTAAACCAAACACATCAAAATAGCTTAAATTAAGCTGAAAGCTGAAATAAGTAGCTTTTAAGCTGCACCAAACAGGGCCTTTATTGAATCAAGATCATATAGGGAGTCGAACATTCAGTTTTGAGTTTGTTGTCTGGAGAATTCTAACGGTTGGTACTGAATTTTTGCATGTGGAACTATACAATGGATGCAGCTATCAGCACACCAAGTACCATAAGCGTAAGTCTGCCTCTCATTTTCTAGCTTCCATTTAGTTAGTTTTGATGATTTTTAAGGCAAAATTACAATGTGCTGAAATCATAACAATCATAACCTTTCTGTTTGGATGGGGCATGCAATTTTTCTAAAAGCAGCTAAATTTGGGTTAGAATCACATCAGAGAATCTTAAGTGAGCTTTAAAAGCAATTAGAAAAATCTCCAACTTGATGAATTGAAGGCACCCCATTTCTATTTATAGACTTTTACTCATTTATAACTCACTTTGGACTATGACTCTACCGTTAGGAACTTAAAGACTTTTAGTTACTGCCTAAGCCAACTAAAAGCATATATAAGGACTGAGGCCTTTTTTAGGAACCTTGGTTACCAAAAAGCAACTACAACTAGTTGTCAAATCATTCTTTTTACTTTTCCACATGTTTTTTTTATAAAAAGCCAAAAAGCCAATTCTCAAACACCCCCTTAAATAACATAGCTTAACCAAAATTATGATCCTTGCATGAACACAATAGCTCATGTGTGAGAGATTGAAAATTTAAAAATGCTATTGACACTTAAATCCTAAGAAAACACGTCAAACAAAAAAAATAATAAAATAAAAATAAAAAAAGAAAGAAAGAAAGAAAGCAAAACATGATTTATGGCTGGGCATGATTGTGAACTTCATTATGTGTTGTCCCAACTAGTTTCACATCATCTGGCACATGTCAAACCAAGGCTGGAGCCTTAGAACCATCCTGGCCATGTCTTTATATTTTCCTCAAAGAGTAACACTGTTTTTCTCCATTTATCATAAATGCAAAATCAAGAACTCAAATTAAGAGGAGCATTGATATAGGTACAAGAAGTTTGGAGTGCTCAATTTAGACTTATTTGATGCATCAACAAAAAATATTTATGCTCAAGTAAAATATAATAGCAAAATCCCAAAATGGCCCTATCAAGCAATATCCTATTTGTGAAGTGTAGCACATTTTTTTACTTACTGTTATGAATGTGTGTAGTTGTTTTGGTTAAACTATATAAGTGCACTTTTTTGCAAAAGTGCACTTATTTGGGTTACATCAATGAACATCTTCTCTCTACTTTTTTACACATCTTTTTATAAAAAGTAAAAAAGTGCATTTATTTAAAACATCCCAAACCAACCAAAGCGGGCATTTCCATCCAATAAAATTTAGCCTTAAGAGGTTGACTATATGTAAATTTGTTGAAAATGTGGAAAAAAAGTTTTCCTTTATTTGAATAATGTAAGAGCTAATGGGTCCACAACTCATTGTTTCAATATCCAATGTAGTTAAGTTTTTAAAAACTATTTGAAATTCAAAATTTTAGATGAAATTTGGATCTCATTAGTTTATGGATTTTGTCTTCTTTATTTCAATTCAATTCTTCTTCAAGTTGGCACAACTTTTGTTGAGTTAGGTCTCCTCTGTGCAACCCCTTTCCTTGATACAGATTTACTTAAACAAGTACTGAAGGCAAACAACTCGTTTGTCAAACTTTGTTCACTAGATTTTCTGCTTGAGGTTACGTCTTGATCAACTTCTGTATCTCTATCTACTAAATGAATTTGTGGAAATTCTAAGTATTTCTTTGTAGGAGTTGGCGTTGGATAGTTGTTCACCCATCTTTTTCTGGTCTCAGAAACTAAGAATCAATGGGCACGTGATGACCCGGCTTTCATTGTAATTTGCTGTCTTCTTTTGGCTGTTTCTACTTTGGCTTACTGTGCCGCGTAAGTTTCCCATATCTTGAATACTGCTATTTTTTTGTGACATTGACATTTAGAATAACACAGTACACCAACCCCTATAAGTTTCCTTTAGCTACCCAAATCTTGTTTGCCATGGAATACTCTTCAGTTTTCACCTGCCAGAGTGCGTCTGTAAGCTACATTTGTGATTCAATATATGTATACATACAATGGTCACTCAACAAAAAAAGAAAAAAAAGAAAGGATAAATTACACTGACCACCCCTAAGGTTTAGAAAAATTTCAATAAACTCCACAAGTTCAGCATTAATTATACTGAGCTCCCTTTTAGTAAGGCTTAAGTGATCAAAACTGATGCAGATGGTGTGTAGACATGACGATAAACAAGGTAAAATATATATCTTAGTGTAAAAGAAATGTCAACATTATTTTTCAATTCGCAAGGCTAACGAATTACTGGTGAAAAAAGGGGCTAAACTTGTAGGGCTTAATGTATTTTCTCCCGACTTCAAGGGAGGTTAGTGTAATTTACCCAAAAAAAGATATAATGTTCGGTGCTTTATCATGAATGCATTGAGTCTTTTGGAATTAAATTAAATTCATGACTCAAAATTTTCTTGAGTTGGATTATTTTCTCTTTCATGTACTTCTAGAACTTCAAAATATAGTTATCTTATTTGATTTGTATGCATTTTCATGTTGATTCTAATCCCATCTTGCTATCTTATTTATTTCAGGTATGACCATAGTGTGTCACATGCTGTTTTTGTCATTATTGCAGTATTGGTCTTCCACTTTTTACTAGTCGGAGTAGTTCTGGCCACATGTTGTTGGTAAGAGCCACTACTAATTTAAAATACTTGATAAACATCTTATTATTGAAGTCAGGGTAAATTACACTTTGCCTCCTAAAGTATTACCTGTCTTCCATTTTGGTCTAAGTTTAGACCTAAACTGTTTGCTTTTTTATATTGTTTCCCTTTTCCTTGTAGTAATTCTCAAACATTGTGTGATGCCAAATTCTGTTTGCCAATGTATGTGCAGGTTCCTGACAAATAATTATCTTCGAGAGGAAGCTCCAAATAGTCATGTGGTGGAGCAAAGGGTTGAATGGCAAGTTTGGGAACTCTGCACCTCCCACTTCAGTTATTATCCAAGTTTTTAATGAACATATTCCCAGTCAGTTTTATGCATATCTTAGTGTGGGTTTGTTGTGTGCATGTGTTCAATAATGTTAATTGATTAATGCAGCCCATTTCTATGATAGACATTTTTTAGTTTCAGAGAATTAACGCAGATTTATCCTTGATTTATTTGGGTATTTCTTTTCTAATGAAGTTTTTTGTGCTGATTCACTTTGTTTGGGCCTCTCCTCCTGAAGGCTGTATGCTTTTGATGTACACTGCAACTCTTTCTTCCCAATGTTTGTTATGCTTTATGGTAATTGTTTCTCACTCTTGTTTTTTGAATTACAATTAATGAACCTGAATTTTACTGATGTCTATAAATTTTTTCTGGCAGTGATACATTATTTCCTATCACCACTTCTGGTTGCTCACGGTTTCATCCCAGTTTTGCTATCAAATTTGATTTTTATGGTGGCGGTCTCCTACTATCATTATCTCAATTTTTTAGGTTATGATGGTAAGCTGAATTTAATCTCATACGATATTGCTTTCTTTTAAAAGAAAATTAGAAGGGCGGCACACTCTACACGTGAACTTTATTACAACCTATCAATTGAATTTTACTGTCTGAATTTATATTTTCTTTTCTTTTTTGGAGGTCAGTGATATTGTTTGGATTGAATATATGTAGGTTTAGTTCGATCCTGGATTTCTTGAATTGGATCTTTTGATTGCCTCCAATTTTTTTTTATTGAGTTGGATTCAGGGTTGGAATTGGATTTGATTAAATCATTGACAACCCTGAGCATGGTTTTTTTCTTTTTTCTTTTCATGCCATGTGCCCCTATGGTTGATTTCACTGATGAACTTTCTAACTGCGTGTTTCCTACTGCAGTACTGCCTTTTCTGGAACGGACCACTTTTTTCTTGTATCCAATTGGCATTTTCATCATCCTGTCACCTATCTGTGAGTGCTATATGCCAGTGAGGTTCTGTTTTTGCTTAGTATATTGTTATCACAGAAAATCACATTCTGTTGTGCTTTACAGTGATTCTAGGCGGCTTCAATCCAACAAGATACTTCATGAACATGTACTTCAGTCAACGGTTGTGATTCGCCATGGCTAACACTTCAGATGGAACATATACAACAATGATGTGAGTTGGAATTAGATGAGTCATTGCAGGAACATAAACAGCTTTAATGAGTGCATGATTGGTGTTTATACATGTAAACAGAAGGCAAGATAACCACATGGAAAACCTTATCTAGTTATAGTCCTTTGATCGCTACAATAAAAAATCCGAACCAAGTGATGTCGGGGCTAAAAAAATTGTTGTTTTTTCCTCTGGCCAAGAAAATCAATCACTGAATTTGTTAAATGTAATGATTTTGCCCATTGGCAATTGTCATTTGTCCCTTAGGATGTGTTAGTGTATAGCTTTTTCCTCAATTCGGAGAATATTAAAAAAACTGAAATATGTTTGTTGAATTTCTTGGGATATTCTATAGAAAGAATCAATTTTTATTGAATTAGATAGTTTACATATATTATGATGTTTATGTAAAACCATAGAACTGAACTGGAACTAAATCGTTTCTTCAGTTTAAATCTAGTTCGGTTTTAGAACCCCTTAATTATGAGAGTATAGGCCGTGGTCAAAATGTTTGTTGAAAGTTCTCTAACGAACTTGTAACCTAAAAAAGAAAAGTTGACTACCCAAAAAGATAGAAGAGTCATGAATCAACTCATCCTTACCCATCATCATCATTCACTATCATTGAGAGTTAGGGTGGTGGGGTCTCTATCCTTGAAGAGTGATTGAGAATGCAAGAAAGCAGTCTTTTGGGGTTGCTTGCTTTGAGAATACTTCTTTCTAGTAGAGGAGGGAGAAAAGAGTTGGTGATCAAGCGGGATATCTCTTCCAATTAGAGATCAGTTAAAACTTGACAATTTTCTATCTTCATGGAGTCAATTCTCAACACATGTTCTGTGTCCTAAATCATTATTACAATACAGATTAACATTTCTGCATAAATTTGAATTTAAAACGTCGTTCATCTTGACATTTATGTCCTCTCTTCATGATCACTTAGATATTTAATAATTTTGGAAAACATGGAAAATATTTATATTAAACACAACAACATACAGAACAAGACCCCAAAGGGTCATACAAACCATACAATAAAAAGAAAATAAATAAATAACAAAAAAATAAATCCGTCAAAATATCAGTTACGATCTAGGGAAGACCACTGATCTTTTCGGAGATGTGTTCGGGAAAGTAAGATCTACTTGAAAGCCTGTCATCCTCATCGATGTTGTCTTTGTCACCGCTATCTAATTCCATCGCCGTACTTTGGACACTATCAGAAACTAGAGATAAGGAGGTACACCCACAATGATATAGGAGAATGATTGAGAAAAGAGGGAAATTAAAAATTTATGTCAAAATCGGAAGAAGAGAACTTTCAAATTCTTATTTCGGATATAAAAAATTCATATCTATACTTTGGAAATGTAAAGGGAGTTGTCGGAGTACTGTCGGAATACTGCTAAAAATCTCTTAAAGAGAGGAGCTCTACTCTCTCTCTCAAACACCGTAATAATATTTAATAATTTGATGTGATGAAAATCTTAAAATCTTTAAAATAATATTATATTGTCCAGAGTACATTAGGAAAAAAAAAGGGGTGTTTGGGTCAAGTAACCTTTAGCCATTGAGACTTGCATTTTATAGTTTATACCTTATCTTTTGCCTTGTTGTGTCATCTTTACAACCTATAAATTCAAAGCATAAAATTTAATTGGTTTAAAACCGCAGACTCTATATTGAAAAATTGTATTTAGTACATTTAAAATTTTAAATTCAATTATTTTTAACTACTGAAAATTTATATTTTGTTGACACTTTCTTGCTTTTGATAGTGACAGGACGATTGACCAAAAACTCACCAACCATTGGGAAAGTTTTAAACAATGAAATTAATCACATGCATAGATTCTTGCTTTTGGTGGTGAGAGGACAATTGACCGAAAACTCACCAACCGTTGGGAAAGTTTTAGACATATATGCCTGGTTTGGGTATATGGTTAGGAAGTTGTGTTTGTGCATTTTTCAAGAAGTCAAACGTTGATTTTTTGGTGCAAAAATTTATTTGGAAAGTTAGTTAAACATAATATGATAATTTACGAATATATTCTCTATTCACTTTAGGGTGATTCTATATTTGTCAAATGATGAGGGTTATTTTGATTATTTTATATTATGGTATGGTGATGTGATAATATTAAAAATTATTTATTACAAAAATAAAAAAGTAATTTTTTATCCACTTCCTAAATGATTTTTTGAAAAAAATTAAAAAACTTGATTATAAAAGTCAAAAAATAATTTTTTATCATCTTTTCAACACAAGTCAATGAAATTAATCATATGCATAGAGTCAAGGGAGAAGAAAGTTTCATACATCAACCATAACTGGGTTTGGTATCTTTCATTGTCATTACCAAAGCAGACGATGATCATAAAAATAGTTTAAAAAAACTAGGAAAATTCTAGGATTCAAAATTTGGGTCAAAATGTACTTAAAAATAGAGGTTTGGTTGAGATTTTACCTTCGTTTGGGATGTGAATTTATTTTGACTTTTTAATTATTTTAGCTTGAGGTTAAAAAATCTCATTTGGGATTAATTTTTTAACGGGAAAAAATAAAATAAATATGAGTTGTAATATAACTAAAAAAAGTTGGTCATTAATATTAATAGAAGTGTAAAAAATGTATTAAAAAAATTATATAAAAATATATGAAATGTGTATTGAATTTTAATTTTTTAACATTATTACGCATCGTTAACAAAACCCTTCATAATAGATTTGAATCACACGACATTGTTTTTTTGGGGATATTTTTTACAAACTTTATAGTATCATTGATAAAAATATGGATTACAAGCAACACAAAACAAAGAATGTATGATGTTAAATAGGAAATTACATAAACTCACACCACCACTTCAATGGCTTATTAACAAAGAAAAGAAAAGAACACATGACTCTTTCAGTCCCCAAACAAATTGCAAGGAACAGACACACTCAAAACAAATATCAATCAAATGTTTATGGAGTTTCGTATGAATGGGAAAGGTTTTACTGGTCGAGTTTGCTGCCGATGACATCGACGTCGAATCTGTAACAAAATTACTGAGTTTCATATGAATGGGAAATGTTTTACTGATCGAGTTTACGTATTTATGTTTTTTTTTTCAAATTTACAAACTGAGACAATTATTTATAAACTAAAAAAATTATCAAACAAGTTTTTATGGTAATTTAAAAAAAAAAATTTAAATATAAATTGAAAACTGAAAATGAAATGGTTATCAAACAGACTTCAGATGGTAAAAATGTCATAAAATTAACAAATAATTAAATAAGTTACCAACGTAAGAAATGACTTATCAAAAGATTCTTAGGCTATGTATGGTTTGATTTTTAGAAATTTTTTTTAAAATTAAAAATTAATTTGGTTAAGCAATAAAAAATAAAAAATAATTATCATTTTTATATAATTTTTATCTTTTGAGTGGTTAGAAATAATTTTTTACAAATTAAATTGAAGCAACCATACGTATGTATATAACCTGCCCAAAAATTAAAATAATAATTATTTTTTACCCTTAAATGATAATTATTTTTCATTTTTTATTTCTTAACCAAATTAATTTTTAATTTTTTTAAAAAAATTCTAAAAATCAAACCATACATAGATTTGAATCACACGACATTTTTTTTTTGGGGGGATATTTTTATCATTGATAAAAACATGGATTACAAGCAACACAAAACAAAGCATGAATGACGTTAAATAGGAAATTACATAAACTCACACCACCACTTCAATGGCTTATTAACAAAGAAAAGAAAAGAACACATGACTCTTTCAGTCCCCAAAACAAATTGCAAGGAACAGACACACTCAAAACAAATATCAATCAAATGTTTTTGGAGTTTAATATGAATGGGAAAGGTTTCACTGATCGAGTTTGCTGCCGATGACATCGACGACGAATCTGTAACGGACATCGTTCTTCTCCAAGCGCTCAAAGGCAGTGTTGATGTAATCCATCTTCACCACTTCGATCATGGAAGTGAGCTCTTTCGCTCTGCAAAATTCAAGCATCTCCTCTGTCTCCGTCATGCTTCCTATGAAGCTCCCTGTTACTGTCTTCCTCCCTTTTAATTCAAATTCAACAAAACCATCATCAGTTACCACAAAACCCGATACAGAAAAAAAATATACAGAATGATGTAACAAAATTATGAGCACTGCTATATAATCATAAAGATTATACAAAATTATTATACAGAATCAAGTGTCTAAGGCTCATGTAATTCTGTATAAAAATTATACATGTACAAATTTTATATATGAAATTTGTAACAAAATTATGTGATAATGACATTATTAAAAATATAAATTATCTTAACGTATCATTAGTTTTAATTTTAAAGTATGATAAAATCAAAATTAGTTACATCATTTTTTATTAATTTTTGTTTATGTATAAAAAAATAATTAAAAAAGCCACCCTTTAAACGAGCTAATATTATGCACATATATAATGGGTGTTTGGAAAGTTACGATTTTAATAACTTATTTTAGTAGATTAAAATTTTTGTGTTTGGAAATATGATAAAAAAAAATTTATAGTTAAATATGATGTTTGTAAGAAAAAAAAAATGATTATAAATTTGATATGATATTTTATTTTATTGACTTTTTTAACTTGTTTTATTTTATTTTAATAAATTTTAGCCTAAATTAAGCTAAAATTTTACTTCCCAAACAGGCCATAGGGAGAAAAGTAAAGGCCAGTTGACTGAAAGTTTTTTTTTATTTTAATTGATGAAGCAATTGCGATTTTTATTTATTTATTTTATTATAAAATAACCTATTAAGTAATTAATATTCTATCATTTCTTTTATAAAAAAAAAAATTTAAAGAGGGAGGCGAAGGAAGAGAGAGAGAGAGTGACTGACCAAGAATGACAACAGGGGTGAGAAATTGAAGAGGGGTGTTAATAACACCCGTCAAAATTAACTTTCCGTCAAGTTTCAACAAAGAGAGGTAGGGCTCGAGAGGGTGGAAGACGGGCACTGTGTCAATGATGTAATCGAGCGAGTCAGCCAGTTCTTGCACCCGAGTGACGTCCGAGCTGACCAGGTAATCGTCCGCACCAAGGTGCTCCAAAGCCTCCACTCTCTTCTTGTCGGAAGAACTAATGACAGTCACGTGATGCCCCATGGCTTTTGCTATCTTCACCCCCATGTGTCCAACCCCTCCAAGCCCCAATATGCCTCCTCTCATCCCACTCTCTTTCAGCCCAAAGTGCTTCAGTGGGCTGTACACTGTCACCCCCGCGCACAGTAGCGGCGCCGCCTGTTCCACCGCCATACCCTCTGGAATTTTCACCACAAACCTACCAAAATTTGGGAAAAAAATGTAAAATATAATTATAGTCACTAATCCAAATTATTTCAAACATTTGGACTAAGGGTTAGTTTGGTCAACTTTATTTGGCTTTTTATTTTTATTTTTATTAGTTTGAGTCGATTTTAAAAAAAAAAAATTATAAACGAGTAAAATTTTTCAGCATAATTTAAAATTTTTGGGTAAAACTGGTATATGATTCTATGTATCGCCGGTGCATGAAGAAGCATATATGATTACTTTTGATCAACGACCATGGAACCAGCAAATCCACCTTGGGTGGGTTTGCCATCAGTGTAGACATCATTGTAGGACCATATCTTCTTGTTGCAGTACTGCTCTACATCTGCGTTGCATGGCTTACAATTTCTGCAGCATCCAACGATGCATCCAACTCCCACTGTATCGCCTACTCGGAACTTGGCCACACTGGATCCCACCTCCACCACTTCACCCACCACTTCATGCCTTCATTTAACAAAAAAACAAAAAAAAAAAAATGTTATTTAAAGATAACCAATTATCAAAGCTACACCTATATCATTTAATCCTAAGTAATTAGCTATTGGATTATAATTTATTAGACATAAATAATTTAAATAAATTTAAAAAAAAACTGAAAAGTGTTTTTAACTTCTAGTTCTTAATTATCATTTTTTAACTTATAATAAACTCACCCAACAACCTCATTAAATCATATATTGAGATTTTTGTATTTGTATTTCGGTATTTTCATATAATCTTAAGTAATGTATCGAGATAGGATGTTTGGTTTCAAATCTATTTCTTAATTTAAAAAATATTAGAAATTAATTTGATAAAAAAAAATTAATAACTGTTATCATCACATGATTCTCTTTTTCTTTGGGTAGAAATAACTTTTAAAATTCAAAAATATCATTTTAACACTTAATTTTGTTAAACTAATTTTTATATTAAAAACAGGTAGAAATAACTTTTAAAATTCAAAAATATCATTTTAACACTTAATTTTGTTAAACTAATTTTTATATTAAAAACAGATTGTGAAACCGAAATCAAACAGGGTGGGGATTGAGATCCTATGCAAAAGCATATTGTTCAAAGAATGTGTATACATAGATATATGTATATATATATATATATAGAGAGAGAGAGAGAGAGAGAGAGAGAGAGAGAGAGAGAGAGAGAGAGATTAAAAATACCCAGGAACCATGGGGTAATTGGACATGCCAAGATCATTTTTGATCTGATGAATATCAGTGTGGCAGATTCCACAGCAAATCACCTTGATGAAAACATCTTCAGGGCCTGTGTTCCTGACATATTTTTGAGAAACAGAGAGATTTGAGAGAGATGATCAATGGATGCAATATACAAATCTACTATTATTAAGGGAAACCTAAATTTGGTTTAGTGAAACTCTTTTCTTTCCCTGTTACATGGTAACTTTATATATTTATATATGTTAAAATAAAAAATTATTATACACAAGAAGGTAAGTAAGTTTTGAACTCAATTAAGAACATATTTATTATTTAATTAACATATATATATTATGGTATTAAATTTTTTATTATTTATTTTTATTATTAGTTGTTTGAATTACACACGGATCGCATACCCCTCCTACTATAATTAATACAGACACAGATACATAATTAAAGTTTAAAAAAAACAGAGAGGGGGGCAGGCTTGAAGGAGATTACCTGAGGGTGTAGGTGTAGGGTGCGAGAACCCCAGATGGGTCTGTTGCTGCCCATCCTGTTGTTGTTCTTTCCTTGTCTATACTTTCCATTTTGTCAAATTGCTTTGGCAATGAAAAGTTTATATCTAGAGAGACAAAGAGAAGAGGAGGCGGGGAGCTGGGGGATTAGAGACGACTACTGTATGTATATATACAGGAAGAAAGGAAAAAGGGTTAATTCTTTTACTATTAATTATATCATTTATCTCTCGTATTCATGAATCGATATATATTAATTTTTTCAATTATTAAAATTGTATAATTACGCCATTTTTAGAGCGGTTTAGAAGGGGTTTGCAAAATTAAAAGTGATATTTTTAGGAGGATTTATGTATAAATCTTAATAAGTGGACTTATTATATAATTAATGATATTTTATATTAAACACTATTAAAAAAACGTCACAAATTATTAATTTTTAACGAAAGATTGAAAATTTTATCATAAAGAATGTCACTAATTATAAATTTTAGCGATAGTTTTAAAAAATCATCATAAAAAACGTCATTAATTTTCAACTTTCAGGGATAGTTTAAAAAAATTGTCACATAAATTCATCACTAATTGTAAATTTTAGCGACAATTTATAAAAATCGTGACAAAAAATAGTCACTAATTGTAAATTTTTAAAAATATATGTAAAAAATATCACAAAAAATTATTTTTAATGACGATTTTATTAAGATTTATTTTCAATAAGACTTGATGAGAATTAAAGTCCAACTATTATGACCTATTGATAATTTATTCATATTTTGATAATTGAAAAAATCAAAATATACGAATTTATAAATAAAAAAATAAAATAATATTCACGAATGATTGACAAGGTTTAGTGTAAATGACTCAAAGAAAAACACAACAGTGGCATAGATTGCTCAAATAATGTGTCATTATTCTAAGCGGGTGTTTGGGAAGTGAGTTTTTTTTAGGTTTTTTTAGTTGTAGAATATTATTGGAGAAAAAAATTTTGTGTTTAGAAAGATAGTTGGGTTTTTTGTGGTTGGATGTGATGTTTGTGAGAGAAAAAGTGAAATGATTATGGAGTTTGATGTGATATTTTGTTTGGATTTGTTTTTTTTTTAAATTTTGTAAAACATTTGTCTTGTAGTGAAAAAAATTCAAAAAATTCAAAAATCAAATTCCCAAACACCCCTATAAACTTTAGATTTAGGTTTTGTTATGATTCATTATAGTATTAATTATTATTTACAATCGTCATCTTGGTTATAATAAAAAAAAGTCATTAGTTTTGTGTCAAGTAAGATTTATTTATGATTTATTGTGATGCTTTTTAATTATACCCGAAAGTGATTTGATCATAAGACCATCTCCAACGGTTCATCAAAGTTGACATCAAATTTAAATTTTGATGAAAAAGTTACTGTTTACTACTCCAACGGTTGCACCAAATCGATATCAGATTGAGATATCATTAAACAATTTATCAAACTGAGGACAAGATATTGATTTCACCAAAACACTGATTTCACCAAAACACTGTTTGTGACCGTTGGAGGGAGGACCCAGTCGACCAACCGGTTGCCCGACCGGTTGACCAACCGGTCGACCAAATTCCTTTCAAATAGGTTGGTTCAAACTGGTCAAAAAAGGTTCAAACAAGTTAAAAAAAAAAAAATACATTTTGCCTTACCAGTTGACCGGCCGGTCGACCAACCGGTCGACCCACCAAAACCAAAACAGAGGTGAAGTTGTTCTGATTACATACCAAGTTCTTGATGAAGATGATGAAGTTGTATGTTAACAATTAGAAGGGGTCTGCAAAATTAAAAGTGATATATTTTTAGGAGGACTTATGTATAAATCTTAATAAGTGGACTTATTATATAATTAATGATATTTTTGATTAAATACTATTGAAAAACGTCACAAATTATTAATTTTTAACGACAGATTGAAAATTTTATCACAAAGAATGTCACTAATTATAAATTTTAGCGATAGTTTTAAAAAACCATCATAAAAAACGTCATTAATTTTCAACTTTCAGGGACAATTTAAAAAATTGTCACAGAAAAACGTCACTATTTGTAAATTTTAGCGACAATTTATAAAAATCGTGACAAAAATTAGTCACTAATTGTCAATTTTTAAAAATATATGTAAAAAATATCACAAAAAATTATTTTTTAATGAAGATTTTATTAGGATTTATATTCAATAAGACTTAATGAAATTAAGTCCAATTATTATAACCTATTAATAATTTATTTATATTTTGATAATTAAAAAAAGTCAAAATATACGAATTTATAAATAAAAAAATAAAATAATATTCACGAATGATTGACAAGGTTTAGTGTAAATGACTCAAAGAAAAACACAACAGTGGCATAGATTGCTCAATAATGTGTCATTTTTCTAAGTGGGTGTTTGAAAAGTGAGTTTTTTTAAAGTTTTTTTTAGTTATAGGATATTATTGGAGAAAAAAAATTTGTTTAGGAAGATAATTGATTTTTTTTGTGGTTGGATATGATGGTTGTGAGAAAAAAATGAAATGATTATGGAGTTTGATATGATATTTTGTTTGGATTTATTTTTTTATTTTATTTTGTAAAACATTTTTCTTGTAGTGAAAAAATAAAAAAAACCCAAAAATCAAATTTCCAAACATCCCCATAAACTTTAGAGTTTAGGTTTTGTTATGATTCATTATAATATTAATTATTATTTACTATCCTTATTTTGGTTGTAATAAAAAAAAGTCATTAGTTATGTGTCAAGTAAGATTTATTTATGATTTATTGTGATGCTTTTTAATTATATCCGAAAGTGATTTGATCATAACACAGTGATTTTAAAAGTCCTAAAAAAATTAAAAAAAAAAGTGATTTTAAAATAATAAAATATCAAAAGTTATATATGATACATACCAAATACGAGTGTACTGTAAAAGCTCCAGAATTTTATGATTAGTTTAATACACCTATTTTTGAAAAACATTTAAAATACATAAAACACAACCGGAACAATGTAATAATCACATTCTTTCAATTATAAATCACAATAATAAATATTTTGGATCATGAAAAAGCATGTCATTTGTATAAAAATTTTGTACAATTTTTTTTTTTTTGTTTATTTAACAGTATTCAATCTATTAAGGGTTAGTTTGGAAAGTGGGTTGACTTTTTAATTTTTTGACTTTTTTGATTTTTTTGGCTATTTTAGTTTGGGCTAAAAAGTTTGGTTTGGGAAGGACTTTTTGACTTTTTAGTGTTTTTGACTTTTTGTGAGAGAAGAGTGTAATGATTATGGGTTGGATGTGATGTTTTATTTGTTATGGCTAAAATAACCTATTTTATCTTTTATGACTAAAATAGCCTAAAAAACCCATAACCTATCTTCCGAAACGGAGCCTGTTCATTTGGAAAGTAGATTAGTTTTTTAGTTATTTTAATTTAATATTAAAAAGTCTCATTTGAAAAGAATTTTTTTCAATTTTTGTAATAAAAAAATATAATAATTATGAATTAAATATAATATATTATTTTATTAAACTAAAATAATTTATTTTATCTTATATGATTATTTTAGTTTAAAGCTCCCTTCTCAAAGCGGAAGCTTAGTTAGATCAAGTAAACTTGCCGTGTGGAGTAGATTTTTATTTTTATTTTTTATACAACATGTAGAGTACAATTCAAGTCTTATGTCTGTTTAGTTTTAATATCATATATGATGTGACAAGTGAATAAAAAGTACAAATAAAGTTAGGTGGAATGTCTGTTATCACCCACCAACTTTGGAGGTGTTTGAAATGTTGTAAATAAATGTGTGAGTAATTTTCTGATCACACTGTCCGTTTAGTAATTAGTTGGAGAGTACTGGCAGAATAGATGGCTTCAGCAAACTTGTAACAGAAAGAAAGGGCTCCGGCGGTGGCTCTTCCACCCGGGGGCACTTCGACGATCAAGTCAGTATATCTCTCAAAGATAATCAAGTGCTAAACTCACAAGCTTGAGTATAAAAATGCGTACCTTAAACCCACGGGGGTGCCTCTATTTTATAGTTTACTAAATCCAAGTCCCACTAGAAGTCTGACTTCTATGGACTCCAATTTAATACTGACTTGGACTCTTCAAGAGATAAAGATCCTTATCTTGGCTAAGTCTTCTCTTTCCCTTATCCATTTATCCGCCTATCTCGGATTCCGATATCTTCGAAGATCACCTCGTCCTCGCAAAAGATAACCTCGGTATAACTACCAAGACACGTGGCACCTCGGCTGACACGTCGGTGTCACCATGCCACGTGTTGGTATTCAGAAAATACATCCCCACAACTGCCCCCTAGGTTCTATTACCTTGGCATTCTGAGGTGATGGAACCTATATCTGTATTTTCTTCTAGTACCTCGGCGTGAGAACTTTTCGGCCGAGATCACTCATTTTAGGCCGACATGCCTTCATCAAGGAACAAGAACTCAAACGAACTTCTCCACGCGCATGAGCTGTCATGCACCTTTCCTCAACCGTTCCCCTTATGTGTTCCACCTTCATTGGTCCATGTCTGTGACGCGCTTGTAAGCCGTCTTTCATCCGTCTGTGCCGTCTGACGTACGCGTTTCTCCAGGCGCAATAAATGCTGTGTCTTGCTGCCGTTTCAAGTTTTTGATAAAATCTTTCTTTCTGTCTTCTCTCCTTTACTTTATCCATTCGAATTTCTGGCTCTCTCTCTCTCTAAACTTTCTCAAATCCACCATTGTTCTAACTCCAAGCTCTACAACCATCTTCATTCCTCCATTTCAGCGAAGCGTTCGCTACTCTATTGTGTCTGCAATCGTTGCCATACCTCGGCGACTTTCATTCTGGCTCCATTTGTTCTGGTAAGATTCTGTTCCTCTTATTCCCAATTTCTTCTATGTGCTTTCGTTTACTTGCTGCCATTTTTGTTTTGTTCAAACCTTGGTTTGTTCATCTGGATGTGTTTGTTCCATGATTTTGCTCATATCTCGAACATTTGCACTGTTTTAATACTTTTCTTGTCACTGTTCTTGACCTTTTACTTCTGTATTTCTTTCGCTTTTGAAAACCATACCTCTGTTCTTCGTTTCTGAAAACGTTATTCTTTGTTTCTTGTTTTCTGTTTTTCCTTTCCAGATCTGTG